GCGAAGCGTGCGAAGGCCGCCGAGGAACGTCGCCTCGAAGACGAACGGCGTCGGAAGGAGGAAGAGGAACGGCGCCTCGAAGACGAACGTCGCGCGCAAGAGGCCGCTGATGAGGAGTTGGCGCGGATCGCGGCCGCCGAAGGCCTTCTTTCTGACCCCGCGCCTGCCGGTGTCGACAAGGGGAAGGGGCGCGCGAGGGTCGACGAGGAAGTCGCCGAACTGTCGGACGACCCTTCGATCGTAAGTATTGTCTTCTATCGTCGTTCGGTGACTAATCTCTCTTTCGTAGAAGACTCCTCGGACGGTCGAACGTCCGCTCGCGATGACCGAGGTCGACATGGCCGCCGCGGCGATTGAGAAGCGCCAGTCGGGACAGAAGGTAAGCTCGACTCTTCGTCGAAGCGGTTCGAAGCTAACTTTTCGATAGTGCGACCGTTGCGCCGGCTACCGCTCGGCCCCGGTCGATTGCGTGTGGTCCGAGAACGCTACGACCTGCGATAGGTGCGCGCAGTTCCAACAGGGCTGCTACTTCGACAAAGTGTCTGTCCTGGGCAAAACAAAGAAGACGCGCGGCGGGGGATCAACCACAAAGAAGCGCAGTAAGTCGTTTCTTCTTCTTGTCCTAGGCCTTCGCTGACGACTTCGTAGTTCGGCCGGCCTCTCCTGGACCTTCGATCGCGGACTCGGGTGGTTTGAAGAAGCGTCGCGTCGACGAGCCTCCGCGCCCCCTTCTACGACGGCCTCTCGATGGGGCCAGCCGCCTTGGGCTCGAGCAGGACGACCTCGATGCGCTCGACCTCGACGATGAATCTCGGGGGATCATCCGCGTCATCCGCGAGGAGCGTGCCCACATCGCGCGCCGTCGAGCGCTCCTCCACGACATGGACCTTGACCTTCAAAAGATGGAGAAGGACGCGCTCGCGAAAGGGGGAATCGGGTTCGTGCGCGGGGTTGTTGACGAGGACTAGGCGCGAGTTGTTTTGTATCGTAGTCGTAGTCGTGTCGTAGAATTTTGCGTAGATGGTTGAATGGAAAATGCGGCCCTTGGCCTAGACGAAACCTAGCGGGAACTAAGAAAAGGAAATGCAAATAAGTGTGTTCGAAGGAAGTCGTAATCTGATCGAAGGGCATAGAAGGTGAAATCGAAATGTTCGTAGTGAGGGAAAATGGACTTAATGAAAATATAGGCTCAGTTTGTCATCACAGCCTAGGAGGACTCGTCTAAGGTGAGCCTCCGCGCAACGGTCGAATCGAAGCGTTCGTAGAACGTCGAACGATGTCGCGACTATCGAGTTGAATCGAAGATATTCGTACAAGGGATGGTCTAGAACATAGGAGAAAATCAAGCATATTGCGTAACATGAGAGCAGGAATGGAGAGAAGAAAGTACGTATCGGGTTGTACAGGTAAGGGAAGAACCTCTATTCGTCGCGTTCTTCGGCTTCTTCGACTTTATCATCGTCGTCGTCGCCTAGAGAATTCGATAGTTCGAGTTCTCGAAGACGCTCGGTCGAGACATCTTCGAGATCTTCGGGAATTGGTATGGATTTGCGCGCGAAGTACGGAATGACGCGGAATGCTGCGATGGGTCGATCGAGGACTGTACCGTCGAGTTCGCACACGATGTACGCGCCGCCCTTGTTGCGCGAGACAACGATGAGGGGGCCTAGATATCGCGGGCGCATCTTGCGGTTGAGGGACTTCTCGATCTTCGTGTTGCGTATGAGCACTAGGGCTCCGCGCTTGAAGTCGAAATCCTGGATCGAGTGCTCGTGCTCTTTCTCGAAGCGAATTGCTGCCGTTCGACGTGCTTCATAGACCTTCGAGTGGAGTTCGGTGACTTGCTCGACGCGTTTCTGAAGCGCAATGGCTCTACGGGCGATGAGATCGGTTGTCGAAAGGACTGAAGTCGGTGGTGGTTGCAGATACGTAGCTTCAACGATGTCGAGAGGAATGAGCGGATGGGTGCCCGTAACAGCGAAATAGGGTGAGCAGCCCATGCGTCGTCGAGTTGTGATGCGCTCGGACCAAAATACAAAATACGCAGCTTGGGACCATTTCTTCTCATCTCCGTCGGCTGTCTTGAACAAGGCTTGTCGCGTGCTGAAATGCGGACGTTCGACGAGACCGTTCGCCCTCGAATTGTACCCACTGATTCGAATATGGTTGATGTGGTACTTCTTCGAAAGGTAATCGGCCGCCTTGATGAACGCCGTACCGTTGTCGGTGACGATCTCGCTGAGCGCGCCCCATCGACAGAGGATGTCTTCGAAGATCCAGTCAGCGAGGGCCTTCGCTGTCTCTTTTCGAAGCATTCGAAACTCGGGGTAAGTCGTGAGCGAGCATCTACCTTGGACCAAGTACTTGTATCCGCCCGAAGCAGGCATGTGCATTGTGTCGATGTGAATTTTCGCGAAGATGGGGGCTGGTACTGCGACGGTTGGAGGAATGAGGATTTGACGCACTTGTCGAGACTGGCAGATATGGCACGATCGAACGAACCAGGCGATGTCGGCGTAGTGGAACGGCCACCAGAATCGCTCATTGATGAAGGCTCGGGTTGCATAGATTCCTCGATGCGCGGTGCGGTCGTGGCATTCTCGAAGTATTCGAAGGCGATCGCCGGGCTTGACGACTAGCTTGTGTGCTCCGTGACTGTCCTTGCGCCAGAGGGTGTCGTTGTCGAGGAAGAATTGCATGCAGTACTTGATGAACCCTTCGTAGACGCCTTCGGAGATGCCGTGGGGCTTCGCTAACGTTCGATGAAACTCGAGCACGTCGTCGAGCTTCGCATCTGCGAGTTGCGCTTGCTCCGATCGAGGCACTAGCTCGTAGCTATCCTCCTCCCTATTGAAATCTGAGCCGTCCTCGGCTCGGGCATTGGTGAAGATGGCACGCATCTGGACGGACGGGAGGGGCTGAATCTGGTGAACGAAGGAATGCATCTGGTCGATCCAATCGTCGAACTCTTCGTCGACCTCGTCTTCGATGACATCACCGGGTTGAGCTGTGCGTCGAGAGAGACCGTCGGGGCCGTGCATTGTACCGGGGACG